CACAGAGAGCCCCTGGTCTCACAGAAATATAGCCACAGAGAGCCCCTGGTCTCACAGAAATAGAGCCACAGAGAGCCCCTGGTCTCACAGAAATATAGCCACAGAGAGCCCCTGGTCTCCCAGAAATAGAGCCACAGAGAGCCCCTGGTCTCACAGAAATAGAGCCACAGAGAACCCCTGGTCTCACAGAAATAGAGACACAGAGAGCCCCTGGTCTCACAGAAATAGAGACACAGAGAGCCCCTGGTCTCACAGACATGCTCCAGTAGTGAATTTTTAAAAGTTTGAGAAAGGTTGGCTAAGAGTGCAGGATCTTACAAGAGTTGACAAAGTGTGTAAACCCTATGAAATGTACATTGATGACACCTGTGTTCCATTGCAACTGACTGACAGAATGACATTTACATGTAAATTACAATCAGCACATGAGGTGCAGTTCTCTGCAGGTCCCTGAAAACTGTACATGTGTATATAGTAAGTGATGTAGGCCAGTTACTGTGAGTGTTTTAGTTGTTTCATATCTACCTGTATATACTCAAATATATATACTAAAATATAATACACATGTAACTACAAAGAGACATTATCATAAAATTTGTACTTTCAGTGATAACAAATACCTTAGCATAGGCAAAAAAGAACATAAATGTTATATTTTTAATTGAATATCTGGCCTAGATAATATCACACTTTTAGCATATAATTTGTCAGCCACACACTCCCCCCTCCAACCCCCCAAAAAATCCTACCAAAACATGCCTAGAACCAACCTAAGAACATACATATTTCAAGCGCAAATTTTTGAAGAGATATTGAACCTGTTTTTAAAAGTATGAGATTTTCAAGTGTTTTTCAATCAGAAAATGAAATACTGAAGAAGTATATACTATTTGAATTAGTATACACAGTATACACAGCCATTGATATAGAATGTTATTTATCAAGTCCCACCATGTCTATATAGTACAGCTACATGAAACATTGATTGAATATACCTGTACATCAGGAATATATAAGATATATACATACCTCCTATAAGAATCCTGGCTATCAGATAAAATCCATTTTGTAAATATTTACGAATAAATCTTCATTTTTGATAAAAACGGTAGAAATAAATCCAATGTTGCGGTCCTAGAACACTGAATGAAATAATATCAAACAAACGAACACTGTTGTTTATATCCGAACACGATAAAAACACATCATCAACAGTCGCGTGACCTTAACATGCTACAACAGTAGCCTCTTCGTCAACACTGGCAGTCCTACTTCAGAGTACAATGTGTACACACATGCTCGGTGAAGCGTCAACTTCACACCCGATCATTAGCTCTCGTCTCAATTGAAGTTCTCCTCTTAATGATCTCAGACCCAATATTAAAAAAAAAATAAATAAAAAAACACACACATTGATTTTCAAATAGAAACAGTTACACAGTAGTAGCTAACAGCCTAACGGCCTCAGCAGACTGTAGGTTACTTCAACCGCTACCACCAACAGCTGAGCGACAAGATCCTAGTCGATCCAGCTGGCATGATTCAATTGTTATACTCTCAGAGATGTTCGGTCCAGCAGAAAAAAAAAGATAGGTCACTTTCATGTGAAACCCTGTGGGAGGGTCAAGTTCATTTCCAATTATTTGCTTGGACGTTTCAGCTTCCATACCGTGTGATCACAAAATCATGTGTCTGGTGAAAAGTCCGTAAGAAATACACAGCAGCCTTTTAATTTCTTTAAAAGGCTGTGTGTAATTACATAGCTTGAATTATAGTCAACTCTCAAGTTCAAACTGTAGAGTTTTAACGAAAGTAAACCCCACACAGAGACTTCTGATTGCCTATCAATGTGAAGTATCAAACGTCATTAAATGTGACCGATTAAACACAAATGGCAAATACATTTCAACAATCACACAGACTTTCAAAATGAGTACACATGCGAAATCCACAGTAATTTTTCCTGTATCCTATGTTCGAAATTCGTTCATTTCTCATCTGAGAAAGTAAAAGTTATCCAAGGTGTTTCGTGGCCGAGATGTATGGTCTCCCGTCAGAAATCCTGACTGATATTGGCAGTTATGATGTATGACTGCCACAAGCTTAGTCCATTTTAAATCTACTCCATCAGATTTTTAACATTAAAAATAAACCCACATTTTGATATCCATCAATTTCGCCCTGTAGGGGGTGTAATTTGTTAAATGAAATCTTCTCGAAATACTTAAATGTTATTAATAGCTGGAGATGTATACTAATCTACTGGCATTTTGTATACAATACCACTTTTGTCTCTCCAACAGTGACTAGAACTTGCGGCCTAGAAATGATAGTTTCTCCTCAGTCACAAGAGGAAGCCTGTATTTTCTCCCTTTAATGAGGAGATATTTAATCGGCAGCAATATATATAGTGCTCACCAGTTGCTGATACCAGAATAAAACCAGTTTAATTTCCAACACAATGGACTATTCTGAAGTGTATATCATTCACATCGTAACTCAGACAGGAGATTTTTACGATAATGTTACATTACACCAAAATCCTTTTCCCTGATCCTTGTCAGGCCTGACCTGGTCAAAATTCTCCCAGCTTAATTCCTTTGTCATCTTCTCAGAATGTCATCAGAGATGAATTTGAATCCAGAATTAAATCTATCCCTTGTCTTTTCTACTCTATTTAAGAATTACACAGTTGAATAGCTTTCACTTACACAATAGCTATGACAACTACAGAAGCCCTAGATCAGTCCAGGTGAATTTTTTCTTCCCATCCAGCCGACAAATTACAGTCTGTTTTTCCCTCAGGGAAACTGTTAGACTTTGCTGTTTTTTTTTACTTCCCCAAGAACATATCTATACCATACCACCAACCCACATAACCATTCAACACTATACACTGCTGCAGGATGAAAGATTTTCAATTAATTTTTTGGATAGAAATATAATTAAGTTAATGAAAATTTAATTAGAAACAGAAAATTATATAAAACAGAGATACAATTTCTCATAAACATGCTACTTTTCAATTCCAGGTTCTTTTTTTTAATCCCCATTAATCATATCATGTAACATATATTATGACACTATATCTAAGCGTTTTGGTGACCCTGACTTTAAAAGGTCACTTCGTTACCGTTTAGTCTTCATTTCAATGATAACTTGTATCATATTATTTATATATAACCAAGACTTGAAACAATTTTGATTTCATCTGAATATTTATGAAGTTTCCTCCCCTTGGGAACTACTTGTCACCCTGCACGATAACATTACATTAATGCTACATTACATGAGAAATGTACATCACAAAGTTCACATAAAGGTCAAATCTATTAAATTTAATGTCTATACCTGACTTATTCTTATAAATCCCCCATGCACTTTTTGTATGTATCCGATGATAAGCCCATACCTGGTAATAAGCCCACCCGTTAACAAAGACATTATATTAACATGGAACAAGCCCAGCTCATGGCTTTGAGTTAGAATTTGTATGCTGTCCCTCTGGGTTTAGTATTTCAGCCCTTTACTCTTAATGAAAATTCTGTATGACTTTATATATATATATATATATATATATATATAAACTTAAGATTTGGAAACAGTTTCTTTGTAACCTATCCCTAAAATGTAAGATACAACCGAGTTTATTTTATGCAAAATGTGATAAAAGATACAACATTGAGATCTAGTTTGAATAAAGGAGATATGCTATGATTTCCATTTATGAAATTTTACCCTCACAAAACTATCAAAGTCTTACCAAAAAAAAGGAGACCATTTCAGGCCAGTTTAAAGGAAATAAAAAAATAAAAAATTTCATTTCTAAAGCAAAAGTTCAATAATTATTCACTCATCAAATGGAGTGCCAGCCATCTTGTCATGTAACAAGACTTAAAATGATGAATATGATTTTAACAAAGATGATATGAAATGACTTTTGTAAATAAAATAGTTTTAAGTTGTAGTTATTAAGTATAAGTAACTTTAATAATGATCTGTTGAAATTTTCCAAAATCTGAAAACAATCCAACAGAAACATATTTTTATCATCAAAATTCATTCAGAAGTAGAATTGAGACTTGACAAAGTTACTTTCATATTTGATTTGATTTTTGTTTTGTTTGTGACCTTTCTACAACAAATCAAACCTTTGCTGTTTCTCCCACGGCACGATCATTCTGACACTCAACGCTGGTTTAGTACTGATATTGACACACTGCCCTAAGCTGTTACACACAATCCATCAATTTTTTTTATCCCAAGCAAAGTTGTAATGTTAAAGATTCTATCCTATTGATTTGTTTCTTTCAAATTAATCCTCTTAGCAAAACCATAAATTGTTACATAAAATGGATTTATCAAGTTCCAGTTGAAGTATATTACTATTGACATGAAGATATTTGTGATATCAGCAGATTCTATGATAAGACATCTTTTGTAAATGATGAAATATGTGGAACAGATAACCATTTAAGGGCAGATAACTTTAAAAACATTAAGGGGAGGTAATAAAGTTTGAGAAAATATTAAACAAGAGATTGTCTTATGAAGGACTTTTTGTATACTCAGGAGAAAAATGGAAAGTACACTTAATTAAGGTGACATGAATAACTTTATGTGACCTAGTTATAGGCCAGGAATGATCAGCAGAGGAAATTAAATAAAAGATTTACAAACAATCTGTCATTAATAAAGGGAGGTAATACTGTTTAAACCAACATATGAGATACTATTTCAATGTTGTATCTATTGCATATGTTGGATCCATAGAAGAATTAATGGGGGATGATTCAGACATTATACTAAATGAGATAAAGGTAGACAATTTTATAATGATGAGATATATTATACTACAATGTAACAGTAAACTCATTTTAGGAATTCAAGGGAAACAACTCCGTCATGAAATAAATATATTAGTAACTTAGGCATGCAATACTGTTTTGAATAAGTCAAAAACATCCGAGGACGATTGTAACTGGGTACTTTCAACATACCTGATGATGATGACGATGATGAATTGTTATTGTTTTGGTGGTTGAGCTGTGAGCGTGTCACTTTGTCGTTAGAGTGATTCTGAGATTTCGAGTTGCGGCTGTTATTGATGGAGGTAGACGTGAGAGCTTGGCCGTCTTTTGACGATGGGTTTGTTATAGTTGGACACTTGCTGCCAGACTTGAATGGAGACGGCAATCTGAAACATTTTGAAGTAACATTACATGAAATATAGCTTATAATCAGGTAACATGAAAATTACATTTAAATATATTGGCACTGGAACCTGCAAATAAATATGTATCATAAAATAAGCTTCTGATTTGATCAAATCAGGGGTGGGCTTATTACAGGAAAACATAAGATTTTATTTCAAATTATCCAAATTTAAAAGAAAAATGAAAAATAAAAGTGAGTTGGCTTATTAGCAGGCATCTGCTATCCGTGGTAAAAAGTCGGTTCTGAAACACTGGAGAAAAAATAACCACTCTGTAACAGTTTTTTTTTCTATCTACAGATTATTTGGTTTCAACCATTCTGTCATGCATGACCTATTTAATTCTTTGGACTGTGAAGACAGCAATGAAGCAGAACTAGGTATTTCAGAAAATTTTATCTACAAATTTCTTTTTACAAGAATGTAAATGCATTTCGTCATATATTTCAGTACTAAAGTTTCAGATTTAATGCTTGTAATTTCAAGAATTCAAATGATTTACTGGAAGGAGCAGTTTAATGTGCTAAACAAACAAGACTTTGCTGAGAAATTTAAAAAAGTTCTCATTAGTTACAAATGCTTAAAAGCTTATAAGTCAGGATAGTGTATCATTTCATTATTTATATGCATATATCAAAATGAACGATTTTATCAAATTGAAAAGTAAAATTAACATATGTATTTAGAGAAGCAATAGACATCACCTTTTGTTTTTCATAACCTCATGTTCCGGAAAATACAAAATCATCAAGTCTTGAGCTTGTGCATGAATATTTACGGATGTTTTCATGTTACAGTGATGAAAATTTCATCAGAAATTGTGTTAGAATCTATCAAGAAACACACAAATACACGTCTTGAAACACAAATCCAATCATCGAAAAACAACTCAGTAATTGCTCTTAGCGATATTTTAAACCTTTTTTCGCCATATTTACCAACAGTTGATGAATTAATGACATCAACATCACGCCTGGGACAGATGCTGTCACAAGACCAGACTATGTTCCATTTGTAAATGGTCACATTCCAAAGTGTATATTTATTTTTTATACCAGTTTTCTTGTTGTTGATGGGTACAGCTATCTAGTCATTTCGCTGGTAAATATTGTACCAACAACAATGTTCGGAGTCTCAGACAATGGATAAACGACCAATTATAGATAAAATAATTACAAAAGGTACTTTGGGCCTGCACATCATTGACTAGGAATCACGATTGTCTAAACTATATTGATTGTAATTTGTCTTTGATGGTGCTAATTCTTAAACGTTTCCTGATGATAATGATTGTGGGAAAAGTATTATCTAAAGCTCCGAGTTCATGTCAATAGTTGCTGAAAGTTAACTTTCGTGTACTAATTTATTCTAATTTAACTTGTATATATAATTATAACTTTACATTTTGTTGGTCTGTTACACAGGTAATATGTTCCACAATTTTCCTTTCACCAGACTGTTTCCATACACAGCTGATTACTAAATGGAATCAATATGATAGTCCATGATTACTTTATCATAAATTTTACACTGTATCTAAAATGAACAACATCGTTTACTTACAGTCTTTTTTTTTTTGTCTCATTGTTGAAGAGAAGAACAAAACTAAACATTTATTCTGCGACTCCATTCTCTTGTGTCGTACTAACAAATTTGTGTGGTAATATAAGGGAAGGCAGTCAGATACAGTTAATTGCCAAATCGGAAACAAACAGGACGATCACTCTTTGATTTTACTGGCAAATAGACACAATTTCTATTCACAGTAAGAGAGAGATATATTTAGATGTATTAAATCAGCACTGTGTATCTACCAATATCTATCAACAAGAAAAATTGGTATTGGGGAAAAAAGAGAGGAAATCAGGCCACAGTGTGGAGGATACATGGTAGAGGCATAGGGGGTGAGGAGGGAGGAATACCAATAGGGGGTAGGGGGTGAGGAGGGAGTGAGGAGGGAGGAATACACAGTAGGGGCTTAGGGAGTGAGGAGGGAGGAATACACAGTAGGGGGTAGGGGATGGGGTAGAAGAATACACAGTAGGGGGTAGGGGGTGTGGTGAAGGAAAAGACAGTAGGGGGTGGGTGGAGGAATACACAGTAGGGGTAGGGGGTGAGGTGGAAGAATACACGGTAGGAGGTAGGGGGTGGGGTAGAGGAATACACGGTAGGGGGTGGGTGGAGAAATACACAGTAGGGGTAGGGGATGAGGTGGAGGAATACACGATAGGAGGTAGGGGGTGTGGTGGAGGAATACACGATAGGAGGTAGGGGGTGTGGTGGAGGTAGGGGAGAGTGTGGTGGGTGGTGGAATACACAGGGGGGTAGGATGAGACACAGTAGGGGGGTAGAGGGTAGGGGGTGGGGTGGAGGAATAAACAGTAGGAGGTAGGGAATGAGGAGGGAGAATACACAGTAGGGGTAGGGGGTGGGGTGGAGGAATACACAGTAGGGGGTAGGGGGTGGGGTGGAAGAATATACAGCAGGGGGTAGGGAGTGTTGGGGTGGAGGAATACACAGTAGGGGGTACAGGGTAGGGTGGAGGAATATACAGTAGGGGGGTTGAGATTGAGGAGGAACACACAGTAGTATATTTGTATCAGGGACACAACAAAATGAAAACTTTATATAAATATATACATAGGGAAACAGTGCAATTAATTCTTGTTTAGTTTTTATTTCTTAACTCTCTAAAGAACTTTGTCACATCTATTTCTGCCTAGAGCACACTAATGGTTCACAGTGAGTTAAAACAGCTATAGTTATGAACAAAAATGAAAATTAATGTGATTTTAAACAGAATTCCTGCGGTTTCATTGCATATTAAATATGCAGAAAATGAATGTGTAAATTCTGAAGAAATTCTTCAAATCTTTAGTAAATCTACCTCAGAAATTAAACTCTACATAATTTCTGTGACGGAAACTCGTTCCTAATCTTTCCCTACCGCTAACTATATAAAATTGTAATGAAACTTTATATATCTGTAAGCCCTGGACTTCATATCTTCTGCATTCAAGGACTCCGTATTTATGTCTGGCACTAATTATATTCTTAAATATTTGTTCTAATATTACCAAAATAACTTGGATTTTACAGAAATACAGAAAATCTGGTAACATATTTCAAGGTCACAGATGTTTTCCAATTCAGCTGAAAGTTTGCAGCTACTTAATGAATCCCATTCTTTTATTTTCTTTATGAAACCTTAATGATGATGCAGAATTCTCCTTCAAATTACAGGAATTTTGAGCTGGCCCCATCATCATATAAAAGTTGCTAATAGCTAGGATTTTTAAGGAATTTATTTGAAGAAAATACTTTTTAATGAAACACTAAACTTTCTTTTAAAAACAAGACAATCGAAAGAACTGATGGATACCCCTAGAATAAACTCTAGTTAAAAAATGGCTAATCATGCAAAACAGAGTGATGGTTCTTGTACCCTGCACTTCCCTTTATTGCCACCCATCTACCTATGATGTTTCATGTTGATACCGCTTATAGTTTTTGTGATATGCTCCGGACAAAATAATGACAGACGGGTGGACGGACAGATGTTTAGACAGATGGAGAAAACAGTGACAATATGCTCTCCCTTTGATAAGCATAAAAACCCCTCCATGCAGGGTAGTAACAATGTTGGATGTACACAGCACAGCATCAACTATAATTAAAGACATAGGTGAAGAATGAGAGTCAATTTAGAACATGAAAGAAATTGAAAAACTCCAGAAATATAGTTCAATTTGATTCCATATCGAGGTACATAACGATTTTAATCATGTGTGAATAAAAATATGTATTTGAATCAATGTCTTAAATTGTTTTATTTGCAATCAGCTACCGAAACCTTAATTAAAAGTTTGAAAGATAAAATGATATTTGAATTTGGCCTTGAAATGTATTTTGTGAAAACACAATTGTTACTTTGGTGATTTCCTAAATATTACATTAAAATTCTAGAGTTCTGTAAGAAAGCTTCAGCACTGATGACGTCAGGTAGATTATTAAAGAATCCTGGACAGATTTTTCTCAAAGATTTCAATGTTTTAAAGCAATCAATAATAAATTTCTATCAGCAACCCTTGTAATTCCTAATTCTAGTCATTAGTGATTGGTCATTTGGTCAAATCTATCCATCACAGATGATTCATGTCCGGAGTGGCTCAGGCTACGTTCAAATCACCTTCCCTGAATACAGAATCTTCGTACTCACAGAATTGTAACATTTAACGGCATTGCATTGATAATTCCATGTCGCTGAGTTTTGACTATAAATGCAGTTGCCATGGTTACTGTCATAATTATACATGTGACCACATGTCCAGTGAATAGTCAGGTCCTCTGTTGTCACCCTAGAAATCCATGTAATTAAGTTACCGGCCATTACAAAAACGCCCTCTAGATACAAAACCCTGTCTAATTCTTTTGTTGACGGAAAGTTGTCAGAATTATGGATTTTATATTAGTGTGGATGGTCAGAACAGATAATGGTCATTTGTTGGTAGGAATGAAGGAGAGGGGGTGGAAAGCACACGGAAAGACAGGAAGGAGGATAGAGTGCAGAAAATATCAATGAAAGATGGATGAATAAGCATAGAATAGAGAACAAAATGTTATTGATGAAAGGAAGGAGCAAGGAAAAGAGAAAAAAACAAATTTACGAGAATAAGCAAGGAATAAAAGAGAAAAAGAGAAAAGAAAGAATATGAAAAAATAGAGGATAGGGATGTACGGAAATGATTGAAAGAAAAGAAGGGAATGTACAGAGGGACAAATAAGACAGGGAAAAAACCCCAAAGAAAGATTGATGGTGAGAAAATGATTTACACATCCAGTCAGACTTCAGTGATTAAGTGGCATGAATCACTCTTTGTTTGTGACAAACTTGCACCAAACCAGGCCCATCCTACTTAATAAAGTTAATTTAAGGCCTATGAACCCACTAGCTCAGTATATAATATCACATGATAGTCAATCAAGCCTAACTAAGGATCTGAAGGCCGATATGACACACACTGGAGTACTTGAAGATAACGTAAATGTCAATAACACACAATCAGTTGCAAGAAATTTAGTTTTGGGCTATTCTCACAGAATATCCAAACTAGTATCAAATTTCTTGTTCCCAAATATCAATGAGCCAGAGTATAGGAGACACAATTACAATTTCAAGGTCATATGAAGTGTGTGACTAAACCTACATAGCATGAAAACCTGTGTAAAGTGACCAAAAATCTGAGAACCTGTGTAACATGACCACTAATCTGGAAACCTGTTTAAAGAGACCACTAATCTGGAAACATGTGTAGCATGACCACTGATTTGAAACATGTGTAACATGACTACCGATCTGGGAACCTGTGTAAATTGACCACTTACCTGGAAACATGTGTAATGTGACTATTTTGTTTTGAAAACCTATGGAAGACACCACTTACCTTTAAATCTGTGTAAAGTGACCATAAACCTACAAACCTGTCTATAGTGATCACGAATACTACGATAACCAAAATGTGAAAGTTAACCCTTATTAAAGCACCCTGTCTAAACTAAATTTCATTTCAGAAATTTGTCTTTCATCAAGTGTTTGTGTTGAGAGATAATGAAAACCACGCCTTCATAAATGATGGTTTGAATGGATCAGCTCTTTTACTGAACCCAAATTTTCTGTCAGTTCCATTGTTTTCATGTTAGAAACGTGTAGAAAATGATATCTCTTGAACATCAGAGGAAAATTTTGACAACATGGCATTCATTTTACAAAAATTAGAAAGACAAGATATGAAAATCGAGTCCGTCCCATGGTTATTTGTTAACACCTTGTTAACGCACATAAACATTCCGTTTTATATCCATCTACAACACCTATATATACAAACCTAGAGAGCATTTCACCGCCATTGAGCTGAGGAGTGTTTCTTCCGATCCCTGAATGTTGGTTATCGAGAGTGACCTCCCCTGGCTGGATCTTGGGTTGTGCGTGTTCCTTGTTCTGTTGGTGGAGAGACTTCTGCTGTTGTTTAAATCGTGATAAGCTAAAGAATAATCCTAGTATTGATTTCAAATTTCCTTCTTTAATATCTGAAACGAGACAAAGCGAAGATCACAGAGTGATTAACAAACACTATGTAACAGATTAGCATTGATCATGCCGTCACATTCAGTTTAAATTTCCTCCCAATAAAAGCTATTAAAACAAATCAATAAGCATAATCCCAAACTCCCTACGCAATAGCACAAATGCACTTCTTAATTTTAGAAAAATAAATTCCTTCATCAACTCATTCTAATAATCATGACACGTGTTTCGATTTTTAAAAAAAAAAATTTCAATTTTGGGAAGCAAACATGTATTCTAAATCATTATTTGAAGAAAATGATAATCACTTAAACAATACATTTTAACTTAAGCATTCTTGGTTACTTGGTATGAATCAGACTAACTATTTTGTGAAGACAATTGTTTGTCTTCAGCAGTGATGTTTACACATTCTTAAAAAATCCCATGGAGCTTGTGGACTAAAATTTACATCACACACAAGTAATCAATTATGTCTAATTAATCAATGAAGGATATTTTATGTAACCCACGGCTCACTGATCATACATATTACATAATTAACTTGTCATTTCTAATTGGAATAAGTTATTTCTGGGCCGTAATTATTGATTTTATACTAAATTAACAAACAATAAAGATCATTACTATATTTCCACATTCAGCTGACAATAAGCCTAAGTCTGACAATAAGCCCATTGATCACTATTGCTGTCCATTAAAACCACAAACAAATGTTCTTGTCCTGTAATAAGCCCATCCATTACTATTGCTGTCCATTAAAACCACAAATAAATGTTCTTGTCCTGTAATAAGCCCACCCTCTGACTTTTGGTAATAATTTGTATGTTGCCCCTCTGTACATATTGCTATATAAGCCTTAAGAATTGGGTAGGAATTTGAGTTCATCTGAAACCTTTCTGTTGTAAAGGTAACAGCAAATGACTTGATGGGTATTATTTCTGTAAATCAAAAACAACATATCTACAATAATCTTACATGAAAAAGGCTTTAAGTAAATAGGAAAAAATGACTATGTTGACATTTCAACTGACCAATCAGATCAGTTATTAATTCCTTGACCTTTGACCTACCTTTGGCACTCAGTCCTTCCACGTTGACCCCGAGGGTGGCCAGGAATGTTAGGCATGTATTGATGTTTTCAACCTGAAAAACATGAATAAAGAACAATTTATAAACAAGTTTTACAAAAAGTATAAATCTGAAAAATAGTACTAAGATTAACTCAAAATTTGTAAAAAGTTCTAAACTTTGTCCAGAACTTTTCAGAAACAATCTCATAATTTTTGGAGTTTTTATTTTTAGAATAAGAGTTCATGTCATGTGGTCCACTGCGGTGTTACAATTGGACACTGTCAATATTATTTAAAATGAGAAAAGGAATTAAAACAGACACTTGACACTTGCATAAAGGCTAATTGAAAGCAGAGGTAAAAGAACTGACCCTTGCAGAATCACCTACGATGAAATTAAGAAAACAAAACTAGTCCATGTAAAAAACACTAATGTTGAAAGTAAAGGGATTTGTTTGGAGAATCTCTGTGCTAAGGACTTTTATATCATTACATGTTTAAAACCAAATATTCCATATACCAGTGGTAAACACGTTGGGAAATTGTTTCTGTTATAACAACAACTTTTCATGTAAAGTTCACATTCTTGTGCTTTTTTTCCTCCAAAATTATTCAGGTATGATAAAAGTGCACAATCGAGTCCTATTACAGATAGAATCAAGCACTTTTTTCTCACCATACCTTCTATATCAATCTGTGCATAAACGGTGAAGATCTACTTCACACCTGATGTGTTACATTCACACTTGTAGCAATATCAATGTGTAGTAAATAATTCACATCACCTATCATATTTCTGTATTTCATAGTGTGACAATTGAAAATCTAGCCAATGTAAACCCAGTCACATAAACTCAACAGCTGTCTCGTTCATTTCAATGGCAACAGATTGGCATGTACATACACATTAAAAGTGCAACATGCAAAATTTTGATATTTTTATATATTTCAGGTTGTAAAGACATGAAATTGATCTGTAAGACATTTTATATATACACCACAAGGAATTGGAGTCCTCTCCTCCACCCCCATCCCCCAACCCCACCCCATTCCCCACCCGCACATGCCCTACCCACCTCATGTTTTTCCCCTTCATTCTTTTGCAGGATATATAATGTTGTTATGGTCTTGAATTAAAACAAAAATTGAAACCAAAAACCAAAATAATATGCAATACATTACAAAAATTGAAAAAAATACCTTCCCTGCTTTCAAGAACATTTTTTCTCAATGATGACATAAAAAGTAGCTGGCTTGAGCCATTCAATGTGACGTTAACCATACTGAGTGTAACATTCCTTAAACTAATGTTAAACTGCAGCATTCGTTAGACATGAACAATAAAAGCTGTAATTTTTTAAAAGGATATTAAAAAGTGCAGTATTTTATGTGAAAAGTTCCAGAAACTGCTATACTGTTACAGTAATTGGGTGGAGCTGTATTTTATAATGTTAAACAAAAATAAAACAAAATGGGCAGGAATAATTCCAGGCATTCCTTTCTCCCAAAAAAATTAAGAGAAAAAATGCCAATTATTGTAAATTCAATTAACTTATTTCCTCTTGGGACAAGCAGCTGTTAGTAAAATCCCACCATCACCACCACAGCAACACTTAACATGAAATATTTGTGTAACATTATATTTTACTTAAGACTTATAAAGAACAGCTTGCGTATCATTGTATACAATATGATTCTCAAAAAAGCATCCAGTTTTTACTTACGATATATATCAACAGCTTTTTGTGATAGTTGAAAAACTGCATGTTTATGGTTGTTTAGTTTAAATATAGACACAAAATATATCTTAAACAGCTGGAGCAGTAATTGTTAATGAACTAATTTTAAATTTTTGCTTTCTCATTTGTCCCCCTGTTGCACATCAATGTTGTTTTTCCATAGAAAGAAAATAGATCCAATTATTTAAACTTGTAATGTTCATAATTTTTTGTGTACATCTTCAATCCGGTCCAATGTGAATTTTATGTAATTTGGAACCTGTATAAAGTGAATCACAAGTTTTTGCTGTATAAAAAGATTACTCAACCTAAGCAGATATTGATGACTGGTTGTGATCAGTTTTGTGATCATTTCATAACATACCAGTAGATATCATCACTGAGAGACCACATGTGTCAAAAAGTCCACCTGTATCAAGTGACCACCTGTATCAAGAGACCACCTGTATCAAGAAACCACCTATATCAAGAGACCACCTGTATCAAGAGATCTGCTGTGTCAAGACCACCTGTGTCAAGTGACCACCTGTATCAAGAGACCTCCTGTATCTAGTGATCACCTGTATCAAGAGACCTCCTGTATCAAGAGACCTCATATATCAAGTGATCACATGGGTCAATGGATCACATGTGTCAAAAGATGCATTGTATAGCACCTGTATAAAAGATCAGCTGTTTTAAGAGACCACCTCTATTGAAAGACATGTGTACCATATGCTTTTTGAAATCTACCACATTTATGATGAATTACTATAGGTGTGTATGTTGTTGACAGAAGACCACCAGATGCCTGTCAGATTGATAACGTGATCATCTCTTCATAAAACCAACATTTGACCATGATTAACTTACAGTTACCAAAGATGTGAAAGAATGGTCTGACGTGGTCTCGTTAAAATGACTTTCTTACATTATTGATGAATTTGCTCTACCTCTGATAAACTGGAATGAAATCGACAGAGGACCGAAGAATGACTCATCACTCTCTAGCTCTCTCGATGTCTGTTGTTAATCACAAATAACGAGTTTTACTGGGAGAAATCAATAGTAATACCTTGATCTCATTTATTTACATCTAACTGCTTGCATTAACTCGTTGAACGATTTCATTTTCCATCAATTCAATAGCACTCTTTTTTCTAGTCATAACTCCTCAATTTTTCCTGTTTTTTTTTTTCATTACGGAGTTAACCACACCAGAAACAAGCTAAGAACATCCCAATTTTATTAATTCTATTACTGAAATATTTAGCCCAAAGCAGTTGCTACATGTCCAGTGTTTTTTTTATGTAAATTTCACCTGATTTCATTAAAAGTGAGGGCGACGATTACTGACCTGAAGCAAGTTTTTATGATGCACCAGATTTTTTTGATGATCGTTATTCCTTGTTTATCAATTACTTGTAAAATATCAATAGAGAGAAGATTTTTGATTAAAATCAATACACTGTCGCTGTTAATCACATTCAATATGAAACATCATTCCTGCATCCATGATGTGAATTTGTAGCAGACGACAGTAACTTCTCAAGCAGACGACAGTTTTTTTGGGGTTTTTTTATCAGAGTCCCTCCAGAGCAAAGGTGATTGGCACTGTAGTTTCTCGATTAAAAAACTGTTGTGAGACGACATGCGACACGCGAATACGGAACATGTTGGGAGGCAGCTTAATCACACAATGTTGCATGTTACTTGTTAATGGTCACAGGCAGCGTAATAAATGATCTTGGAACTCTTCAATAATGAACAACACAAAATGTCTGTGATATATATCGCACACTTTGCATACCGACTCCTCAATGACTTGGCTTTTGTATATTTTTTTTATTCTATCAAAAGTACAAGAAACCCGACTCAAAACATGCTGTCCCATCGAAACATTTTTGTTTGATGCATATTAAACAAGAAACACCAAAGCACACATCTGAAGTCCTAAGATTTGCTGATCACATGATAACAGTAGATATATATCTAGTATCAAGACCCTATTATTGATAAATGTTTTACAAGGATTTGGAGCTTTTTTAAGGATTCTAGCTCAATTTA